AATGCTTTAAAGAGCAATTTTATATTGTAATGTTTTAATGTTCTACTAATAACGATAAAGTACAGCTGTCATAAATCCAGAGAGAAAGGCTGCATGGCTAGAAACTGCTGATCAACTGAATGCGCATGTAGCAGCATGTTAAAATGTTTTCAAATATCTTAAAACAAAGTCATTAAATCTTGGGCACAATACATTAAATACAGTTGGTTGTAGACTATATTTTTATTTATTTGATTTATTTAAGTTGCATTTTCTGTATACTTTTATTTTTGGACTGATAACGTCAAATAATTGTATGTGAGAGAGTCAGCGCCGTAATATCAATGCGTTCCTATTGGTCAGTGTTAGAGGAACTCAGCTTAGCCTGACAGTTAGCTTGCCTCGGACCAGGTTAGTTTCCCAGCATAAGTTGCCAGAGTGACTAAGCCTGAGCTATGGTAATCTTGCTTTATGAAACCAAATCAAGTGAAAATAAGTCAGACTAACTGAAATAAGCCTGGCTTATTTGGTAAACTTGTTTTATGAAACAAGGTGGTTAAACAGTAAGTCATGTGAGAAATAACCATAGAATACATGGTTATACATACGTTAATTTAGCCACTGCATTGAATAAATGTCTGGGGTTTGTTTTCTTCTAAGAGAGATTAAAAGTAAGCAGATCTAGCAGTTTTTAGAGCTTTTCTATAAGTAGAAGTACTTTCCCGCCATGCAATACGAAATACCTTTTGTTTTCTTCCAACTGCGCTTCATTTTTCGGGCTGCTTTCTTTAAGGCACGAGTGTGCTCGTTATACCATGGTGTCGGACTGTTTTCCTTAATCTTCTTTCAGCGTAAAGGAGCAACTGTATCTAAGGTGCTGGAAAAGAGAGAGTCAGTAGTTTCTGTTACACCATCAAGTTTTTCTGAATTATTGGATATGCTGAGAAATTGAGACAAATCGGGAATTTGCAGCTTTAGCTATAGAGTATACACGAGACTAGATAATGATCCGAGATATCATCACTCTGCTGCAGAATTTCAACGCCATTAATATCAATTCCATGTGACAGTATTAAATCTAAAGTATGATTACGACAATGAGTAGGCCCTGACACGTGTTGTCTAACCACAATGGAATTCAGAATGTTTTTCATTATCAACATGGATATTAAAATCACCAACAATTAAGACTTTATCTGCAGCCAGCACTAGCTCAGATAGAAAATCAGCAAATTCTTTGATAAAATCTGTATGGTGCGCTGGTGGCCTGTATACAGTAGCCAGTACAAACATCACAGGGGATTTACTGCACTTGAAGCTTTCATAAAATTAAAAATTAAACACCCAAAACTGTATAGTACCGAAGTCGAACTGTATGTTGATACGTAAAACTGACCCTTCGCAAAAACCTGCCCTCCTTAGTTACTGTTGCTATGTCCGACAAGCCATGCCGCTCTCGCACACACTACACATGTTCTCACGCAGTAAAAAATACATTGCGGAGCAAAGAAGGAAACTGACAACACGCCGACAGACAAGACAGAGCAGGTAACGTCTGGTATGAAACGTCTTAGCTTTCAAATTTTGTGATTTTTTTAAAGAAATTCAAACAATAAATACCGTTTTGTGGCTCTTTAATGTCATGACCAGTGTTGGGGGTAATGCATTACAAGTAACTAGTAAAGTAACACATTACTTTTTAATTTACAAGAGAATATCAAGTCAAGTCTGCTTTGTCAGTTCTTCCACATGTACAGCACATACATACAGAGAATTGAAATTGCGTACTGCTGCTCACTGATGTGCTGGTACAGTTCATTTAGTGCCTCACTCCTAATGCTGTTGTTGGAGCTGGTAGGGATGTATACGGCAACGAGCAGTATGGCTGTATATTCCCTCGGTAGATAGAACGGCCGGCTGAGTTAATCTGAGTTACTTTTTCAAATAAGTAACGCAAGTTACTTTTTTTTCCAATTTATTTATTGGCACATGAACCGATCGTCTTTTTTTATATTTTCTTAAAGCATGAAATAAACATGAATGAACATCAGAACATATTTTATTTCAACCGTGGTAAAACATCAATACACACAATTTTTCAAGTTTAAGTCCACCAAAGTTAACCTACTCTCCTGTCTGATTTGTTTGTCGGACAAAATGCGTTATGACTGGTCAGATTGCCTGTCAATCAAGCTATTTGCGAAGGGGGAACAACGGATGGCATCACGTGGGAACGTAATGACGTGCCATTAATAGATCTATGTACTATAACACGTAAAACGGGAACATGAAAGGAATTTTCTAAAAGCAACTAATGTAAACACCTTAATCATAATATTGTCTTATTCAGAAAAGGTAAATAATTAGATTACTGATGTCCATGTAAAAGTACTGTGTGTACATCACAAGCACATGTGCACTTTGGTCAGAGTAGCAATAATGGGATTAAGGTGTTTACATGCCTGTATATTTCGATTAAAATCGGCATACGCCACCTATGTTAATACAATTATGCTTGCTGCGATTATGAGCTTAATCGCATTATTTAGATCAAAGTATTGCGTTTACCTGATGTAAAGTTTAATCGCAATATTGCCAAAATCTCATTATAATCGCATTAAGAGGGTGCATGTAAAACGCACTGACTATTATGGTGGTCATTATTTGTGTTTGTTGGGCTCTTGACCCTTGAAATTTAGTTTGGCTGCTGTACCTGAGATATAACAGCCAGACAAGCCAAGAGAAAAGTTGATCAGGTGTTGTTTGTTAAGTTTTGACATAATAATTTTACCTGGACCGTTGAGCTTATTTAGAGCAGTGGTTCTCAACCCTTTTTTCCAGGGACCCCTATTTTAACATTCAAAGTTTTTAAAGGGGTCATATGATGCGATTTCATTTTTTCCTTTCTCCCCATTAAAAAAAAAAGAAAGAAAGAAAAGAAAATCAGTTGTTAAATTTGTAATAAATGCAACAACAGCACAAAACATTAAAACAAAGATAATGATGGCTCGATTTTTACCTCCTGGGGTTGACGATGGCGCCGGCGGGATCACTTGCTTTTTTTTCTGATAACCGCAAAAAGAACTTAAAATGCTCCGTCATTTTTGATCGTACAAATGTGACATTTGGAATTGTCTGACTCTGTCCCACCCTTCACCAGGACAAGCACTCTGAACGTGGATGATATTGTATTACCCGCATATCTGTTACCCGCACACAGAGCAGTAGAAGAGAGACAGAAAATAGTTAGTCATGTAGTCATGTTAGAGCTCCACCTACAGCATTTAGCTCTGCTGCAGATCGTTCAAACTCAGAATAACAGTAAACATGACATGTTGAACTTAAAATAAAACATAAAGCTTGAATGTAATAATCCCTGCAGGAAAATTATACAGACTTTTTAAATAAATTGTTAGTCTTAAATGTATATGAAATTAATTGAAATAACATTTTTAGTAAACCCATGAATTAAGTGTGTTACAAAACCTTGTTCACACAAACCATTTACTACATTTACATTTAGTCATTTATCCAAAGTGACTTACAATTGAGGACAATAGAAGCAATCAAAACTAACATAAGAGCAACAATATGTAAGTGCAAATGACAAGTCTCAGTTAGTCTTACGCAGTAAGAGTAGCAAGGTATTTATATACAGTGGGTACGGAAAGTATTCAGACCCCCTTAAATTTTTCACTCTTTGTTATATTGCAGCCATTTGCTAAAATCATTTAAGTTAATTTTTTTTCCTCATTAATGTACACACAGCACCCCATATTGACAGAAAAACACAGAATTGTTGACATCTTTGCAGATTTATTAAAAAAGAAAAACAGAAATATCACATGGTCCTAAGTATTCACACCCTTGGCTGTGACACTCATATATTTAACTCAGGTGCTGTCCATTTCTTCTGATCATCCTTGAGATGGTTCTACACCTTCATTTGAATCCAGCTGTGTTTGATTATACTGATTGCACTTGATTAGGAAAGCCACACACCTGTCTATATAAGACCTTACAGCTCACAGTGCATGTCAGAGCAAATGAGAATCATGAGCTCAAAGGAACTGCCTGAAGAGCTCAGAGACAGAACTGTGCCAAGGCACATATCTGGCCAAGGTCCGTTGTGATAGCAGACTAAAGAAGCAGTGGAGACATTAGCAGATAATGAAGAGAGGAGTGATTGATATACATTAAGGTCAGTAGAATTTTGTGATTTGCGCCATACTCTTTCAGCAGCCCTGAGCTTAAAACCATGCTCACAGAGAACATCAGATAGCCAAGGGGCAGAAGAGGTGGTA